AAAAAAAAAAGAAAACAGAAAACTTCAAGCCCCGATCTACGATGATTGGAGCTGTTTCTGGCTAAAACAAAACCAGATCCGAAAAGAGAACGAAAAAAAGAAATTTTTAAGGTATGTTAAAGGTTTTCCTGCCACCGACAATCACCAGCAGCGCCGTCGATGGTGAACCAGGCGACGGTCGGCACGACGATCTGACGACTGGATGGCGAGGAAGCTCTGGAGCTTTCCTCTCTTTTTTTTTTTTTTTGAAACAGATAAAAGACTGAAACAAAAAAAATTTTAGTTATATATAAAGGCCTAAAGGCCAAAACGACTTCGTATTGGGCAACGAAAGATCCACGCGTGGACCCAGACCTGACCCTGGGTCCGCGTAATCGACCCGCCAATCTGATTCCTCAACAGCCTTGAACAGGTTTGATCAGATCGAATCGAGCCGTTCCCTAGACCGATCCGAACCATTCATCAACAGGCTGAACCAAACTGCGTATCGAACCGACGCCTTTTCGATCCAATCGAACCGTTGACCGGTTTGATTCAGGTAAAAAATTTTTTTTAAAAATTTTTTATATATTATTATTTTTGGTTATTTTAAGTATTTTTATATATTTATGCATGATAAGTTTTTAAATTAGTTAGGATAAATATTTAATTATTTTAATAATAATAAAAATGAAAATAAGTAAGATAATAATTAAAAAATATATATTAAAAATGCTTTAAAAAAAATAATAATAAAATAATTTTTATTACTTTCCTTGTCTAGATGTTGGAGGGAATAAAAACATATTCCTAAAAATAATTTCGTCTAGATGTTGAGAAATTATTATTAATCAATTTTCATAAAAAAATATATGAGAAATTTTTAATTAATTTTAAAAAATCATTAAAATCGAACTTGTTCCGAAAATTTACCTAGATGTTGGAGATTTTTAGAGATGTTCGCATTTTCTTAAAAACGAAACCTTAAACACTAATTCTTAAATTTCAAAACATTAGAATACGAAACCCTTAAAATCCAAAATCCCTTAAAATCCGAAACCCCTAAAAATCCAAAATCCCTTAAATTCAAACCCCATAAAATTCCAAACCCCTAAAACCTAAAATCCCAAAATCCAAAACTCCTTAAATCAAAACCCCAAACCTCATTTTTTAAAACAAAATCAAAACCCTAAAATCTCTAAACTTTAAAATCAAAACCCTAAACCTTTCATACCCTAAAATTCAAGCCTTAAGACCCTTTAAACCTTAAAACCAAACCCTAAAACGCTCAAGACTCAAATTAAAACATTAAAATATGAATCTTCAAAATCTTAAAACTCTAACCTTTAAAACCTTTATTCAAGCCCTTACTCAAAACATCCTGTAAATCCTAAGGACACGTGTGAAAATCTTATTTGAAATAATTTGTTCTCGAATGCCGCCTAGATGACGGGGTATTTAAAAAATTTTATTTCGTTAAGTCTTTTCACAAGATTTCTTAATTCGCATTAATAATAAGATTAATAAATAAAAAGTATAATAGTAAATTGAGATCTTAAATATAAACAGTCGCACCTAAGTTCTGCTTAGATGTTGAAGAGTCGAGGTGGTCTCATTATACTTAAGAACCCAACTTTTAAATTACATTTCATTTTACATGACATTCATTAGCATACATACGTTATCGTGTTATTATCGATAATTGTCTGCATTATTCTCTCTTTAATTTACTGTTTGATGATAAAATATTTTATAATAAAAAAAAATACATTTAAAATTTTTTTTTGTGATATTATAAAATAAAATAGAAATAACAGTCCGAAGAAAATAATTTTTGGTACTCTGCCTAGATGTTGGAGAGTCACTAACAATTATCTTCTAGAAATATTGTTATTTCATTTTAAGGATTATCATGTTAAATCTTAAGCAAAAAGAGTTATTTTAAAATTCTGCCTAGATGTTGGAGAATTTTAAAATAATTATTTAATTTTAAGATTTTCTCAATATTCCTAAATAAAGAGCTTTAGCAAAATTTTATTTTTTCAAATGAAGGGAATTAGTGTTAAAATTCAAATTGAAATCATTTTTATCCAACACCGAAAATAGCGCATAATTAAATGGTACCAATTTATGGGTGTTGTGGGGGTGCTAATATTTCCTCACACGTAATCGACTCCCGGACCTAATTTGATTTTTCGTAGATCAAAATTTATTTTTTTGATAAACTTTAAACTCGTTTTTATAGTTTTATTAAGAAGATAAATTTTTGGGTGGACAATCACACCCTAACAAAATTTGGTGACGACTTTCTTTTTATTTTTCTCAATTTTAAAATATATTATGTCTAACGGTCCTAAAACCGTTACGACACTTATTATATTTTTTTAAATTCAAAATATATTTATCAATTTAAAAATTATCTATACACTTAGTTGTCATGCAATAAACCTATAAATGTTATGTGTTACACCATTATTTTTTTTTTCAATTCACAATTTTTCTTTGAAAAATATGCTGTTACTTTTATAATTTTATTCTTATAAAAATTAATATTTTATTTCAATTCATTTGTCTTTTAATACTCATTTACTAACTTTTTTTTTTATATTTTGTCTAGAAATTTTGATTATTTATCACAAAGTAATAGTATATTCGTAAATATTTATTAAAATTCTTTTGTTTTCTAAGAAATTTATTAAAATATAGCTTACTAGAATATATATATATATATATATATTAAATTGTGTTGTTTGAATTCTTGGTTTTTTTTTATTGATTTTAACCTATTATCAAGAACTATGCTATTTTTTTAGTTTTCACAATTTTATATATTTTATAAACAGTTTGTTTTGTTATGAATTAGTTCTTGAAATTATATAATTTAGTTTTGATAAAATAAGTACTATCACTTTTAGAAAAAAAAAAAAACTCATTTCATTACTTATTTTAATTTGTGAATAATTATTTTGGATCAATTGATAAGATACCGATGATAAGAATATCTATATTTTTTGCTTATATTTTAAGATAAATGACTCAAGAGATATTTAACTTAATTGTATCAAATATGATCGTCATTGGTTTAGAATTTATAGTTATATAATTTAAATATTTTAAAAAATATTATAAGATAATTCATAAATCAAATGATTTTATCTATTATTTAAGATTTTTTTTAAATTTTTATCATGCAAAAATATTTTATATTGTACATATTTCTTCAATCATTTTAGGTAATTCATAACTCATAAACTAAACACTTCAGAATTTTTTTTTTCAAAATTTATCATATATCAAATAGATTATAAATATATAATCATTTTTAAAATAAAAAACTTTAAGATCAAGATGTGATAAATAATTTTTTTACAAATAAAGAATTAGAATATATTCTTTTATTAAAATAATATAAAAATTAAAATACATTAAAAAATTGAAATTATAAAAAATATAATAAAAATATGTGCATATTAAAAAAGCTAGTTTTATATAAAATAAGTTTTTAATTTCTATAAAAAGTGAAATTTAATTATATTTATATTAGCCCTTTTCTTTTGCATTTATATTTTATACAAGAAGAAGAAATGCATTCACGTGTTTCTCGCGTGGATTGCAAAAATAATAGAGAAAATAAATTCATGAGGATTTTTCTGCATTTTTGCACGTGCTAAACAACATGTAAACACGAGGTTCATACGAATGATGAGAAGAGATTGTGAGAGACAATGGCCCTATATTATCCAATTAGATGTTGGTCCACCTTTCCTCCATTTTTGACACAGATGCGTACCAAGAGGAAGGATTGTACGAATCAAATATACCATGTCGGCTTGTATCAAATTTAATGAAAGATGTCATCATTGATTTTCATTTTCATGTCATTAAATCCGTATCACCAATTAAAACTTTTATTTACTGGAGTTTTTAAAACTTCATCAGCCATGTTAGAAAGATAGAATACACCTTTTCAAAATAATAATTTAATAATAAAAACTATAGTTATTATTTTTTGTCTCATTTATAAAATTTAAAAATATTATATAAAACAGATTTTTTTAATTCATTAAGTAAGTTTTAAATTAATAGAATTACAAAAATTTTAAAGTATATAAAAATAAAAATAATTAAAAAATATGTGATAATATCTTAAATTCACTTGTAAAATTAAAACTCTTTTTATCATAAGCTATAAAAATTAATTCTAAGGTTTAAAAACTCTTGTCATAATATATGGAGTAAGAATTTTTTAAAAATAATTTTATTTATTTTATTTGTATATATATAAATTAGTATTTTTTAAAATTATATTTAAATTTTCAAAATTTATAACATATATAAAAATTTATATATGACTAATTTTTCATAAAAATAAATTTAAAAAAAGTAAAAAAATGATGTATATATTTACTTTGCATCATTTTTATTTGTAATAATATTTATAAACTTAAAATTTATATCAAATAACAATAAATTATATGTCTTTCTTAAAACAAATATATATATATATATTATCAAATGATGAATTAAATAATAAAAAAATATTTACATATTCTCACTTTTATAATTTTATTTAAATTATTATACAAAATATGAAAAAAATTAAGAAATTTGTGAAAAAAAAATTAAAAAATATTAATTTTCACAATAATAAACTTGCAATTGTAATAGAACATATTTTGAAAAAAATGCAAATCAAAAAAATAAATTGTAATAGAAATAAAATTTCAAAAGCTGTAAACAAAAAATATATATATATGAAACATTGTATAGTTTATATTTATAATATTTAATTTATAAAATAACTCTTAAATGATACTTAGATTGAATAGGAAATTTTTAAATTGATATTTAAAAAAATAAAAAATATAATAAGTGATAAAAATTAAGTAAAAAATTTTATCTATTTTTTAAATATAAAATTGATAAGAGTTTTGATTTATACGTTGGAGGGAAAATGAGAGAAGGAGAGAACTGAGCCGATTTCGATTTCAGCCGAGGCGAGTGGAGTCGAGTCTCGAGAGAGAGAGAGAGAGATAGGAGACTTTCTCCGTACGAGTGCTCCATCAGGGGCATCCTGCACCAACCAGGTCCAAATCGCTGATGCTCCGAACTTTTAATGAAAAGCCCTGTTTTATCCACGTGCTCTTCTCTCATTAGCCTTTCGCTCTTCTCCAAGCACCACTCCCTCTCCTTTTGCCCATTTCTTTTAGAATTTATTATTTTATTTTCCTCACTTTAAGAAACAAAATACCAAAAATTATTAAAACTCCGTCGGAACAGACACACCAAAAAAAAAAAATTGTCGGAATATTATCTTCATCGGAAGAGCTTCTTTATTAGATTAGATAGACTTTGAAGAGACAATCAAACCTCAAACTGACTTTCTTCATTTTCTTTTTTTTTTTTTTTTCTCTGTTTAAATATATTCTTCCTTTGATGAATTGAAACTTCCCTGTTTTAACAGAAAGCTTAAGCTTCATCTGTGCCTTTTCTTTTTTCTATTTTTGCTTTTGCCTCATCTTGTTTTTCCTTTGCTAGGGTTTCATTTCTTTTTTATTTTTTAGGATTATTATCTTCAAAGACGAGACTTTAGAGCTCAATCGAAATTTCAACAGTTTTCAATCAGAAAGAAAAAAAAAAGAACATAAATTTGTTGCGGAATTAAAAAAGAGTTCAATTGGATGGTTAATTTGGAAGGAGAAAGAGGAATCGGAAGGATTATTTCGAGGTTCGGTGGTTTGAAGGTGATGTGGAAATTGAAAGAAGCGTTTGGTTTTTAAGATACTGAAAAAAAAGAAAAAACAAGAAATGAGGAATTCGGGAATAGTTTAGAAACAAAAAAAGAAAGAAGAAAAAAAGGTTGCAAAAGTTGCAACTATGAGTTGCAGCGAAGAAGAAACGAGAAGCGTCGTCGTTTCAAATGGGTCGACAACGGCTGCGCAAGAGTTGACCATCGATCACAATTTGCTCATTGACCCGAAATTGTTATTTATCGGCTCCAAAATCGGCGAAGGAGCTCATGGCAAAGTTTACGAAGGAAGGTCAGTCTCAAACACCTCTGTAAATAATGATACTAATCGTATTAATCTACTCGTTATTTTCTCAGACCCCAAAATAGTAAAAAAAAAAGAAAAGAAAACAGCCATGGTTGATGCTAGTTTAGTGGTAAAGATTTTTTTTTTTATGTTTTTAATTTTTTGTTGTAATTCGAACTTTTGTTGTTAATTATGCCCCAAATTAACAAAATTTATTTTGTTTTAATTAGAAAATATATTTTATATGCTTGTGTGGATGTAACAGGAGAAGTCAATTTATGAAGAACATTGTTATTCCTTTCTAATTATTATTATTTGTGTAAGAATTTTATAGAAACAATAATTTGTTTATTGTTTTATGGGAAAAAGAATGACGGGGATGGAATTTTAATTTGTGAAGTTTTTTGTTTTTTGGTGCGAAACATTGTGATGGGAGTAAGTTGTAAAATTTTGGTTGTGCACAAGGGGACTGTGCTAGTTACATAGGGTTGAGTCTAATATTTTTCCAGGTATGGTGATCGGATTGTTGCCATTAAAGTTCTTCACCGTGGGAGTACTGTTGAGGAAAAAGCTGCACTTGAAAGCCGTTTTGCTCGTGAGGTTAACATGATGTCTCGAGTAAAACATGAGAATCTTGTCAAGGTGACTGTTCCAAACTTGAAATGCAATGTGACTGTTTCATTGATGGAATGCAATATGACTGTTTCATTGATGGAATGCAATATGACTGTTTCATTAATGGAATCTATGTTTATCTGTTTCTCACCTGCAATGGGGGATTTGTTGCCTTGCAGTTCTTTGGAGCTTGTAAGGACCCGCTGATGGTGATAGTAACTGAATTATTACCAGGAATGTCACTCCGGAAGTATTTAATTAGCATCCGTCCCAAAGTTTTAGACCTTCATGTGGCTTTGAATTTTGCACTGGACATTGCTCGAGCCATGGATTGTCTTCACGCCAATGGGATTATACATAGAGATCTAAAGCCTGGTACTTCTTGAACATTATCAGTTACAATAGAATGTTCTTTTATGGAAATATTTGTTAGTGATTGAAAAGCTTGCTTGTTTTAATTCAAAGTCCATCCAATCATTTCTTTCGTATCAGCATCTGGTTCCTCAATCTCTCTCTCTCTCTCGTATGCATGTCTGCATTAAGTCTTCACATCTGTCAACTTATTTCATAAGCGTGCAGAAACTGAAGTTTATATTCTAATCTCTAACTAGGACACAGTTCATCCTTTTTACTTTAATTCCTAGTTTTTTTCTTTCTTTGCTGTGCATTGGTGGCTTAGATAGTTCTCTTTTTGAATTCTTTGTGGCTGCAATGTTCTCTTGTTTTGTGACTGTTTTCTATGTTTCTTGCAAGCAATGTTGTCCCCAACTCTATCGTAATTGTTATGAAAAACTTTGAAAAATGGAACACCTGAATGATTATTAAATTACTATCCTATACTTTTAATGCATTCACTTTGGGTTGGGAGTTGCAGTGGCTGATGCATGTATCTGATTGAATCTGTGCCATTGAAAGCAGAATGTGGATTGTAATGTCCTCTTTGATGTAATTTATTTGTTCATACTTCAGTATCCTCTTGATCCCTTTGAATAATTGCAAATTTATATGGAAAATATCTATGCAGACAACTTGTTGCTTACAGCAAACCAGAGTTCTGTGAAACTTGCAGACTTTGGTCTTGCAAGGGAAGAATCTGTCACAGAGATGATGACTGCAGAGACTGGGACTTATCGATGGATGGCCCCTGAGGTTTGTGCCACTATTGTATTTGCAAAAAGGACAAAGAATCATATTTATAATGACGATTGAAGGTTTTTGTTTGTTACAATATTTAAGTTTCTTTATGCAATTTCTTGTCAATGGGTGATATAATTACCCCCTGCAAGTCATGGAATGTTCTTTAGAGGCCATAAGCATTTTGTCTGTGACACAGGTTTAGTTTCAAATATCTAGCATGTTGATTATTTGAATGACATAAGTTATGAAAATATCAAGTCTTAATCAAGAAGAAAAGTTGCAATACAAATACACACACACACACACACGCATAGACACATATGTATGTGTATGCATATACAGAATACTTCAATTGATAGCAAATCCATTAGCTGCAGCCAGAATAACCTACTCTTTATGCCAAAAATTTACAGTCTCTGCAATTTTCTTAAGACAAGAATCCATCTTTAGGTAATTTATTTATTAATATGGACACATGATATGTGATTTTTGCTCAAAGGATTTTTGGCATATTTCTACCTGGGAAATTAATGTATTTCTTACCCATTGACTACTCATGGATCATTTTGTGCTGTGGTATTTAGTAGCTGACTGGATTAATAGACTTAAAAGTATTCTTGAACTTTCTAGTCTGTTTTAGGTTTGGACAACAACGGACAATAATATAGAACGTATTTTGTCATCAATGTGTCGTGGTTATGGTTTGTTCGTGTAACAAAAATTAATCTCTGAGTAGACAAACTTTTGTATACAACTTTCCATACTTGGTTGTCACTCTTTTAGTGTTGATATGTGTCATTGTAGTTGTATAGCACGGTGACATTGCGTCAGGGAGAGAAAAAGCATTACAATAACAAGGTTGATGTCTACAGCTTTGGAATTGTATTATGGGAATTGTTGACCAATCGCATGCCATTTGAAGGCATGTCCAATTTGCAGGCAGCTTATGCTGCTGCTTTTAAGGTGCAAGTCTTTACTGCATGTAGTTGTTATGCATGATAAATCTTTACGCTAACAGATAACTAACTAGGTTGATGTCGTATGAGTGTGCAGCAAGAGCGACCTAGCCTTCCAAAGGATATATCCCCTGATCTAGCATTTATCATACAATCATGTTGGGTTGAGGACCCTAACATGAGGCCCAGCTTCAGCCAGATAATCCGTATGCTGAATGCCTTTCTCTTCACGCTCACAGCTCCTTCACAATCCATACCTGAATCTGACAACGGTGAGACAGCAGAAACAAGTAATGGAACCATGACTGAGTTATCTGGTCGAACAAAGGGGAAGTTTTCTTTCCTCCGCCAACTGTTCACTGCCAAGAGGACAAGAAACTCACAATGAGGGTAAAGTATTGAAAAAGTTTCTTTTTCTTCCAACAGTAGACATGTTTTAACCGAACCTCTTCTTCGTTACCTTTTATGATGACTATCTTCAAATGAAGGAAATGTAGGAAGGATGTTGATGGGATAACTCCTTGGCAAAATAAAAGAAAAATAGAGCACCATTTATATTGTCTAGTTGACTTTGTTGTGAGGAAGATACACGGTTCTGACATTTTTCTGTTCATATCCAATGTTACCTTCATAAGAAAAAGGCAATTGTAGTTCAAATTAACAATTTGCTTTTAGCAGTTATAGTTGAAGTAATTGCTCAAGATCGTGCTTAGTTTATAACATAGCTCTGAATTAGCAGCCTCTTGTTTTTGTGTGCGTGAGTGAAAAAAATACAAACTAGTGGGCATTTCATCCTTGTTTCTGTTTCCTAATGTGGTGGCACGCTTTTCAGGTGATATGTTTAGATTTGATGGTTGCTTGGATTTGTGTATTAGGCGTCATTTATAATTGCCGGAGTGCTTGTGAAAGAATACGTTGTCACATAATGATGTTGATTTCATGGGACAAGTGGTGCAAGAACCTAGGAATCGTGGTGGACTTTTCTTTTGTCTGCCTTTGCTTGTTCAAAATGCCTTGTAACTGGGCCAATATGTAATCCTTAAAAAAATGTTATGCATAGTTGCTTACAAGTTAACGACGCAGCAGCCAGCCATGGAGATTGCTGAGTAATAATGTAATGTAGTGAGCCGAGAAGAGAAAAAAAGGGGCGGGAAATAGCTAGAAGAAGAGAACAAGAAAAAACGGAGAGACTCTGAATATTGTTTCTGAAAGCTGAGGCATGTCTCCGATTGTAATACTCGCATGACATGACCAAATGTTGAACTACTTAAAATCTCCAATCTAGACTAATATAACCCAACTTATATGAGGGATTCTATTTGCTTCCGTACAATTTCTGTTTAACATCCAATTTTCAAAAACATTTCATTTGTACTTATTACAACTCACATCTTAACTTCAAAATTTCAGAACTATCCCCATACATTATCTTCTCCTCCCTCGTACAATTTTCTTTTTTTTTTTAATTCTTCAAATCTAATTTTTCAAAAAAAAAAAAACCTAAAATTTAACCTAGATTCAAAGGAAATTAAAGAAAATCAAGTTATAAAGCTTATACCAAAAGGTAATTTATATGTTTTTGTGTTTAAGTTCATATGATTTTGTGTTGAATTTTGAAAAGTTTGGGGTGAAATCGGTGTTGCGATTCATAGGTTTTGGAAATAATTTTTTAAAAATTCTTTTAAGTTTTTGAAAATGCATTTTTGAAATATTAGAAGAAGTTTTGGAAATATATTTTTGAAAATTTTGAAAAGTTTTCGGATATTCATTTTTGAAAATTTTTAAAAGTTTTCAAAAATATGTATCTGGAAGCTTTTAAAAGTTTTTGAAAATGCATGTCATGAATCCTTTTAAAGTTTCCTGAAATGCATGTCTAGAAACTTTTAAAATTTTTTAAAAATTTATGTCCGAAAACCTTTTACAAATTTCGACACCCTATATCTAGAAGCTTAGAAATCTCACAATAAATTTCATATCCATGCTTGTATCATTATATACACATTGAGTTTTGCATATTTGCTTTGAAAGCTAACGTGATGATCATCTAACATTCGTAAAAGTAATACTTTTAAGAAGAGACGATGAATCAATGAACATGCATATGAGTCAGTTGTTGATCTGACAAAGCAGTCGAATGTTTATCTCCTAAATTCGGTTGTTCATCCCTCAAAGTCATTTTTTGGAGGGTTGATGGATACTTCTTTACTTTAGAGCTTCAACAATCATATTGTAATATAAATGAAATGGTCAGGTAATAAATTCAATGAGACTGATACTTATTTTTGGTACATAATGTACGTAAAACTAATAATTAGTTTCTATTTGTCTTTGTTGTTATATAAGTGAGGTGCCTTAAAAACAATCAACTATAGGGCAAAGTTACAACGTTGGCCTTTAGATGCTTATTGGCAACGTGTTCGTGTGAAGGTTGTTTGATTAAGATTGCTACTATTAATTGATTGTGCTTATCATTTGTTCAATAATATGATAGTTTCAACATTTGTTGAAAATGGACAACTTGAGACAAATACTTTTCACCTACCATTCAACGAGATGACGATCACATTGGATGATGTTAAATTGATTCTCTATGTACCCGTTAAATGGGGCAATGATATTAGTTTAGAAGTTCATGACGTATAAGGCAACACATTGTTTTTGTGATGCATTTGCCAGGTTATAATGGTTGCGAGATACATTTAAAGGTGTTATTGATAGCTCTTCTAATCAAGATGTGGAGTATGCTACTAAAGCTTTCTTGTTCCATCTTTTAGGATGAACGTTATTTGTCAACAAGAGTAAAAATAAAGTATCGATTATGTATTTATATTTATTGAACAACTTGAGCACTACTAATATATATGTTGGGGGGCAACTTGCTTGACATATTTATACAAGCAGCTTAGTATATTGAGTAGAACTTAAGTTTATCAGATTGCTGGTTATATTACGTTTCTTCAAGTATGTATATTATATTAGTTTAATGATTTATAGATTAGCTATATTTGTTTATTTGATTTTATATAACACATAATTTATGCTTTTTCAATGTAAATGTAGGCATAAATTTATAAGTACTTTTTATACTTGATCTAGTAGCCAACATGGGATATTTTGATTATGAGTCTCATGCTCGATGATGGAAGCCCTATAGTATACTGATTCATCATAGCAACATAAGAGCAACTGGATGCCTTGTTCTTAGTTTACGTGTGTTGGAGCTCTTATGAGATACAGCGACAGCATCACTCATTATCAAATATTGCTTATTTTTCTAGGTGTATGAAGTGTGGGTTATTGTTGAGCTATATTATTTGAAGAGGGTTTTACAACCGTTAGGTTACGTATAGACCATTCCTTCAACCTCTTTGACTTCGTGTTAAGCTAACCAAAGTGTATATTTTAGCACATATGATGTTGCATATAACTTTTTGTATTAGTTTTGGAGTAATAGGATATACATGTTCCACCTATCGATCATCGAGGGCATCGATGTGCTACATCGGATGAGTCTTTACCAAATTATGATGATTGGTATGCATCAATTTCTTATTAGAACATTCAAAATCTGATGCATAAATCCAAGTTTCAGTCTATCTTGGTTGTTAGTAGGTCTACCAAGGATATGGTAAGTTATAACTTTGGTAGTTATTACTTATACAATATTAATTATATAGTTTAGATATTGATTTTTCTTATTAAAATTTTATAGGTGATCTCGTTGGCATTAACAGTTCTTAAATAGTGTTATTTACGGTGGATTATATCATGGAGTGGATGCATAGAGAGATGTGATTTTTGAAGCACATGTCATATTGCCTAGGTTGTTTGCGATGGGTCTGACCAGGGTGTTTATACTAGACCCATTGTTATATACATTGACTCCTTGACCATCTTTGCTTCCACTGCCCAATCCCCTTTGTTCCCTACCTTTAGCACCAACTATAGCACTACTTGATTTTCTTCGCTTATCAACTTTAGCACCAATGGTAGGACTATAGAATTCCTTGCACTCTCAACCTCCAGCATTTGTGGCAGTATTGCTCGATACCCACTCTATTCACCTCCAACATCGTTTGATCTCTTAGCATCAAAGTTAGCATTACTCGTTCCACCACAACATGTATATATTCGATTTAAAAAACCTAGGGTCAGAGAGTAGGACTTTTTTTATGAATACCTTAGATGTGCATTAATTTTTTTATTGTAATTATATTATTGCATGACATTTTATTTTTATGTTGCCATATATGATCTTGTTATATAACATATGCATTAAAGAAGTTACTACATAAATTATGCATTAAAGAGCTTGCTAAATATAAAATTATAAGATATCAAATAAAACATATTAATAAATAAAAAATCCATCTAAAGTTATCAATCTATTTTAACTGTTTCTTAAAGTTTTTACTAAATAATAATTTAAAATCTTCTATGCACGATACAAATGGAACCTCATATCCTTGAGCATGTTCATATTATATCCTATGCTAGTTGCATGTAATCGGATGTATTAGTAAGAACGACTTCATGAATACCTGTATAAAATCGATAGATATGATAAGTATTAATTGTAAGGTGATTATAAATAATAGAAATGATAAATATAAAATATAATTAACGGTACCTGTATAAAATGACAATCATTTACAAATCCAATCGTAATGACTTTCTGTTTCAATGGTGCAGGTGATATAGATCTAATAATAAGATATGTTAAGCATTGTCTCAAATTGATGTGGATTAGTATGACATTATTTCGTAAAGTAATCAAATGATCCATATCTGGTAAGGTTATCCACTTTTCGTATGAGGTAAAAGTGTTAAAATATGATACGATTTCTACTAATTTCTCAACATGTTCTATGGATTCATACAATGACATATTCGCCTCGATATTGAATCGATTAATTAGTTAAATCTTGTCATACTTGTACCCAACCATATATACCAAATCCAAGCAATCCAGCAATAGAACCAAAACCATAATATTTATTTGTTCAACATCAACGATGGTCTATATATATAGATGTAATTTTATTGGAAAACTAGACAAATATCAAATTTTTTGTCTACCATAAAAATGCTAAATAGAAAGTTTATTGATATATGATGTAACTTTCATGGAACTTCTAGTGGTTGGTGGTGATATATTATCTTGTACAGATAATATAATCTCCTAGTGTAATGGGTCACGTCGCATAGATTTATCTATTTTAATCGCTCTGCAACCTTTTGTCTTAACAAATTTTAGTAATGGAATCAAGACAGTTGTTGACAGATTACTTAGTTCTCGCAACTTTCTTTTCATGGTTAATTTATCAAATTCATCACAATCATTAAAGCATTTTATAATTAGCTTAATCTTGAACGTAATGGTCAACTCTTCAAATATTTCATCCACTTGGTTCTTCATTAATTTAACTTTTTTCGATGAGAAAGTATTTTAGATTAGAAAATTAGACTTATCACTTTTATGTGCTCTACCATTTTATGTGCACTAAGTAATGCATATGTGCATATGATAACGCAACCACAACATTGCTTGCTAATCTTAACCTGATTTGTTCGATTTTTCTCCATGAATATCATACTTAGTGCGCTCCTAGATACCAAACTTTGTAACTCTTTAAATAATGAAAGCTTGTAATTATGCTCGACAATCGTAAAATTTCTTTCAAAAGAAGCTTTTATCTCTATATGTTGTAATTCAATAAAGGTGTTAATTATACTTTATGATGATTCAAAATTTTCTTGAGATGATCCAAGGTGTCACTTAAATTTCATATGTGCATTCTCAACCCTAAACAAATCAATAAAAGTATATTAGAATGAATGTTTTGTTATGAATTATACAAATCTAAATAATCTTAATAAAAAACTAAACCAAAGCATACCTATTTGTTCTAATATTTTTAAAGCGCATTATTTTACCCGTCTAAGCAACAATAACATTTTTAAAGTGCATTACTTTTTTCATTTGAGCAATAATAAATATTTTTTTATATTTTGTCAACCATTGCTTACACCTAAATAAGTTTGATAATAAATTTTTAATGAATTTAAATGCCTTTCATACTCATCATAGGCAGAAAAAAACACATAGACATTTCAACTTGACATTAATGCCTTTCATTTTTCTTTTTGCTTAAAAAACTTCTTTCAATTTGTAAGCATGTTTATTGAGATATGCATTTAGCATAAAAGATTTGTTGTTTTAGGAAACACAACTTGTTTTACATTCATCAATGTCAAATCTTTGTCAGTAACATCAACATTAGAAAATATACTAAGAAGTATCAAACTTTTTAATGTAAACAATGCCCAACTGTAGTTGTTATAGTGCTTGACCTCCATGTACACAAATGCAACAGAAAGTACCATCTCAACAGAAGTTGCACCAACAATTTCAAGTAAAGGTAGACAATAATCATGACACTTAAAAAGGC